CTCTACTTCTGACCTCCTCCTCTGCTCCCTCTCCACCCGCACTGCATGGTTCCGATCTCGCAGCTGTCGGTCGTACATCTCCTTAACCCTCGATGCCTCCTCCTTCTGCTTCTGCTTGCTTCGCTGCTCCTCCTCCCGCAGGACCTCCAGGCTTCTCTGCGCATCCTCGAGCTCCCTTTTCTTCTCCCTCTTTTCGCGCTCCTCACTCCTCCTCCGCTCCTCCATCTGCTGTTGGATGTACTCCATGTAGTCTTTCTGCTCCTGTTTCCTTTGCTCCTTCCACCCCTGCTCTCCCCTCACTGCTGCCTCGTCCTGTAGCCGCTGCAGCGCCGCCCATTCGTCCACTTCTCCTCGAGGACGCCGCGGCATGACAGAGTCGTGCGTCCTCTCCGTCGGCGACTTGCCGCCGTAGCGATACTCTGACGGCTTCCACATAGCTTCCCTGTCCAGCACTGGCGTGCATACGTCCCTATCCCCTCCTCTGCTCCTCCTGGAATCTCGTTCTCTCCTCTGCTCCTCCTCTTCCTCCTCCATCCTCCTCTCCATCTCCCTCCTCTCCCAATCCTCCCTTTGCGGCTCACTCCTCCTCGTCTGGGGAGAAGGATGGCGGGGCTCAATGTGCTGGCCGTACCGGTTGTGCTCGTGAGCCCCAACATGGGGTGTCCGTCCAGCGGCTCTGTGGCGATCCTCCTCCTCCTCTCTCCTCGCTGAGATTTCTCCAGAGTAAACTTTGATCCTCGTGATAAGACGGTTGAGGACGCTGGAAGGGCAGAAGAGAAGTTTGAATCAGCAGACGAGGAAACGCGAGGAAAAATGAACATGAGGAGGGGGGTGGAGATGAAGGAGGAGGGAGGAGGGAGATGAAGGAGGAGGGAGGAGGGAGGAGGGAGAAGGGAGGAGGGAGGAGGGAGAAGGGATGAAGGATGAGGGATGAGGGATGAGGGATGAGGGAGATGAAGGAGGAGGGAGGATGGACGAGGGAGGAGGGAGGAGGGAGGAGGGAGGGGAGCGGGGCCGGGAAGGATGCTGGAGGAGGTCAAGGATGCTAGTTGAGGTCAACGAGGAGATGAGGAGCAGGTACCTCTCGCTGACATCCTCTTCCGAGTCGTATTCCTCCAGCACCCTGTCAGCTGCCCCTTTCCTCTTTCTCAGCTGATCCAAACTCAATCCTCCCTCGTTGCAGAACGCTTGCAGTTCTCGATTGACCTAGAAACAAAGAAAGCCAAGTATCATTTACAAGGAAACAAAGTTTTCTTGGTCCTCCCTCCCCTACTTCCCCTCCCTCCATTTATTCTTCCTTGCTTCCTCCACTTTCTCCTAGTCCTCTCCCTCTCGCACACGCTGATCAGGCATCCTCCATCGCTCACCTTTCCCCTCCTCCTCGCTCTGAGTACAGACTCCCGGTCTCGGGCTCTGTGCGACCCACTCCTGCGGGGAGAGGATATGGCTTCCGATTGCCTATCGCTTTCCTTTCTCCTCGCAGCTTCTCCTGCTTGCTCGAGCCAAGGAGGCGTCCTGCTCCAGGGAACCCCATCGCCCTCCCGCTCATTGCGCGAGAAATGGGTGTAGGTTTCAGCGCGATACTGCGGCATCGATCAAGCAGCGAGAGCAACAGGAGGCATCCTCAAGAGAAGAAATGAACTCCACTCCAGCACGTTCTCTATTCCGTTTGCCTCCAACAACAGCCCAACTTCATCTTCTTTCAAGTTTGCACAGGAAGCTCTGCTTCAAGTTGACAACCTCGTTGGTCGTGTCTGTTCAACACCGTTAAATTTTAGCCTTGCATGCAATCATGAGTTCTAACAAGTTCGATACTGTTCATATGTTCATACAAGAGCAATCAGATGTTTTCTCTACTCCAAATGTCGCCTGCTGCATGCTGGATGCCCTCCACATGGAATCACGGGGGACTGGGAGTTTGTTAAGGCAGGGCAAGGCAGAGAGGGCGGGCGGGAGGGAGAGAAGACAAGAACACACGATACAGAGAAGAGAAAGGAGGAGAAGTCAGAATCGTTCTGCTCATCACACATATCGCTGAGCCCCGAGATCTGCCATGGTCTGACTTGCGCCTCAATATTCGATATGACCACCTAGTTCCCTCTTGTACCCTGATCTCCCATCCATGTAGCATCCTTCGCTCCTGTCCCTTCTACTCTCCTGCTCTCTCCTGCTCTCTCCTGCTCTCCTGCTCTTCTACTCTTCTCTATCGCTGCCGCCTGTCCGGCCCCTCCCTTGCCCCGTCCCCCTCCGGCCATTTTTGTTGTGTTGCTAACCGTTAGAGGGCCCAACTCGAAGTTTCTTCAGTGTTTTGACATTTTCCGTGCTTCCGGCCC